ACTAGATCTCCAGGATAGGATGCCCAGAGCTGCACATCACATCCTGAATAGTGCTGTTTTAGAGATGGCTTTAGTGAACTTTTTACATTGACTTCCCAGCTCTTTTACTTCAGAGGTTGCAGTTTATCTGGAGCTGTAGTGAGTGGGGTGGCTGCCCACTGACCCCGATGGGGAAGAACCCTTCTCTGAGCCCAGGTGGACCAAGATCTCCAGGATAGGATGCCCAGAGCTGCACATCACATCCTGAATAGTGCTGTTTTAGAGATGGCTTTAGTGAACTTTTTACATTGACTTCCCAGCTCTTTTACTTCAGAGGTTGCAGTTTATCTGGAGCTGTAGTGAGTGGGGTGGCTGCCCACTGACCCCGATGGGGAAGAACCCTTCTCTGAGCCCAGGTGGACCAAGCCAAGGGGGTGGGGGCAGTGAGCATAAAAGCCCATCCTAGGAGCTCAGTAAGGTCTCAGACACCAGAGGAAGCAGAAGCCTATCCTAAGCTCCCAAGCCAGGAGGGCCCTGGAGGTAAAAAGCATCTAGGGATGAGAAGCTCGATATGCAGGGCTTGACAAACGGCGGCGAAAGCCACTCGCCAGCCCCGCACTGCGCATGCGCAAGAGTCACATTGCGCATGTGCGTGCCGCAGGTAAACGGGGCGTGCGGCTGAAATCTACTCGCCACAGACGAGTAGATTCTATAGTTTGTCGAGCCCTGTCCACACGAGTCAGCAGTGTGCCTTTGTAGCCAAGAAGGCTAACAGCATATTGGGGTGCATTATTAGGAGCATTTCCAGCAGCTCTAGGGAAGTGATTATTCTCCTTTATCCAGCACTGGTGAGGCCACATCTGGAGCACTGCGTCCAATTCTGGTCTCCCATTACAGAAGGGATGTTGACGCATTTGAGAGAGTCCAGCAAAGGACAACAAAAATAATTAGGGGACATCACTTACGAGGAAAGGCTGAGGGATTTGGGCTTATTTAGTCTACAGAATAGAAGAGTGAGGGGGGATTTGATAGCAGCCTTCAACTTCCTGAAGGGAGGTTCCAAAGAGGATGGAGAGAGGCTGTTCTCAGTGGTGATAGATGACAGAACAAGGAGCAATGGTCTCAAGTTGCAGTGGGGGAGGTCTAGGCGCAATATTAGGAAATACTATTTCACTAGGACGATGGTGAGGCACTGGAATGGGTTACCTAAGGAGGTGGTGGAATCTCCATCCCTGGAGGTTTTTAAGTGCCAGCTTGACAAAGCTCTGGCTGGGATGATTTATTTAGGACTGGCCCTGCTTTGAACAGGCGATTGGACTTGATGACCTCCTGAGGTCTCTTCTAACGCTATGATTCTATAAGGCTTGTGAGGAACTTCAGGCAGTCAGATAAAGCTAAACAATTAAGTAACACAGAGGAGCAATCTGAACTCCCCACATCCCAAAAAGTAAGCTGGCTGCTTGAGGTCCCGGTCTCTGACCTGTGCTCAGACTAGTGTAAACTGACCACTGAGTCCTGGGTCCCTGACCTGTAAGTATAGGTCTAGGGGCTCTGTCCAAAGTATAGGTCTAGAAGCCCTGTAAGTATAGGTGTAGGAGCCCTGTCTAGGAAGGCAAGTCGCAATACAAGCAATGTCGCACAGTCAGTAAGCCCTAGGCCCTGGTTCAGGGTGGGCAGCAGGGCAAAGCAGTTCCAATTAGTAAGACCCAGGCCCTGGTTCAGGGTAGGGCAGTCAAACAAACGCAGTCCCAAAGTCAGTATGGCCCAGGTCCTGGTTCAGGATGGGGCAGCAAACAAACACAGTTCTTAAGGCACGAGTGTGGAAGGGGAGACTGCCACCTGGTATTTGGAGTGGCAGGGGGATCCGGCCCGCAACACACTGACACACTCTAGAATGTTATGAGATCAGCCTGACAGTCGTTGGCTTCCCCTGGGTCACTGCCTAACTCCCCTTCAGCATCTACCTGGTGCCACGCTGGCTGCTGGAGTTTGGTGTTGTGGTAAGTCTGGAACTTTGGGCAGGGTGTAGAAGGTCTCCTCTTCGGTCTCTTGTGTAGCTGGCAGGCAAGCTGTAGTGCCAAAGAGGAGTTATGGCTGCTGAGTCAGAGCCGAGAGCTGCCCCTCACTACAGCTTTACAGGACTTTGTAAGTCCACCCACTTCAGTGCTGCTTCTGTAGAGGTGGCAATGTGTCTTGCCTGCCCATGCGTTAACGATTGCTCTACTGATGGACAAGGGGGAATCATAAGGCTGTACTTGCCCCAGTATCTATGATATCCCAAGTTCTGGTTGCTTCCCTGTGTAATCAGTTGTTTGCTTGATCCAGGTGTTTGGTTTGTTCCTTCAACATAAGCCCAGAAGTTGGGGAGAGGGCAGACTGGAGGTAGTATGAATAGAAAGTCTTTCTCAAGAGATGTTCAGAAGAGGAAGTGAAAAATTGCAAGTAAAAGTCTAGGAGAGCCAGGATGAATGATAAAGGAGCTAAAAGAAGCCTCAAGACATGGGCTCTCCTGGGTTTATTCAAGCTTAACAGTTCCCCTTTCATGTAGTAGATCTTATATTGCTTTTCTTCAATTTTGGTCAATGGTCTGTACTCTTCCAGATTATAGATTGCCCTATCTTTGTTCCTCCAGAAAATGAAAGGTCAATTTGTGTACTCCATATTTCCATGGTATAAGACTTTCCAAGTTATTATAGATAGGTTGAGATTTTCTATTACTCACTGTAACAGCATGGCACCTACCTCTCATGAGCACCCCTTCTGGTTGGATGTGTCTGCAGTCTAAACTATTCCCAGCTCTAGTATCAAGCCAGACCCCCTGGCTTCCTCCCAGGTGACAATTGATTCACTCTCTCTGGTCTGTTCTGGTCCCAGCTCTCTAGCTGGGCCTCTTAACAGTTATATTACTCTTCCAGGAGTCTGTCACTCTCTTATTGTAGGCCTCTTGTCAAGTGGCTTATGGGGGGTCCTGGGCCTGCCCATTACTCTGGGTCCCAGCTCAGAGTCCCTAAGAATAGCAGCCTCACGGCAGCTACCTTAAACTACACTACTTTCAGTTCCCCATGGCCCAAGCCTTCACCAAAGCTTTACCCTGTGCTCAGGGCTCTCCTAGGATTAGGCCCAGCAGCCAGACATGCTCTTCCTTGTTTCCCAGGTCCCTGCCCACACTCAGTTCTCTGTAATGCTGCAGTTCACTTTGGCCAAACAGGAGTGCCTACTGCACTCCTCTAGCTCCAGCAAGGAAGTGCCTGTCTTTGGGCCTACAGCCACTTTTATAAAGCGCTTTTAGGCCCTGATTGATTGGCTGCACCCTGCAGTTTCTCTCATTGGCTGCTCCCTGGCTGTCCCTCTAGCCCAGGAGTGGGCAATAATTTTTGGTGAGGGGCCACTCAAAGATTTTGGTAAGCGGTCAAGGGCCACGCTTTTTTGTGGAGGGGGTGTGGAGTCTAAGAGGGAGACTAGGTACAGAAGGGCGCACAGGATAAGGGACTGTGGTGCAGGAGATGATGTGTGGTCTGAGAGGGTCTCTGAATGTAGGAGGGGTTGTGACTGGGGCAAGGGAATTGGGTGCAGGAGAAGATTCTGGCCTGGGAGAGGAGTGTAGGAGGAGATACGGGGCCTGAGAGGGAGTTATGACCTGGGGCAGGAGGATGCAAAGAGTTTGGATGGTGACCTGGGGGAGGGAATTAGGGTACGGGAGGGGCAGGAGTGACAGAGGCAGGCTCTGGCTGGGGGGCATTTACCTAAGTCAGCAGCCTTGGAGAAGCCCCAACCAGGCTGGGCTCCCTGCCTGCTTCAGCCCCAGACACCTTGAAAATACAGGCTGGTCCCTCCATCTGGCGCTCAGCTCTGGGTGGAAGGACCCCCTCTCTGCTCGCAGGCCAATCTCAGCTCTGATTGGCTGACTGTTTCCAGCCAATAGGAGCTGAGAGATTGGCTGAGGTCAGTTTATATTTGCCGGTTGTTTCTGACCAATAGGAGCTGAGAATTGGGCTGGGGGATGGAGAGATCCCATGAAGCTCCCCTGCTCCCTGAAGAGCAAAGAGACACATGGACAGCACTTGAACTGCGGCAGCCGCGTGCCTGAGGATCCCGGCAGGGTGGACCGTAGGCCGGATCCCGTGGCTTGGCGGGCCAGATTTTGCCCAGTTCTGCTCTAGCCTGTTTGGAGGACCTCTCCACTGTTCTTTTCCGGGGTGGGTGTGGCAGGACCAGGGGGCTCTAGCAGGGGATCTCTAGGCTTAGTCCATCCTGTCACACACAGTTATTGTTGATATCTTTTAATCAGTATAATCATTTATCTTATACTATACAGATTTCTTGGGGAGACCAGCATTTCTCAAATTGGGGATCCTGGCCTAAAAGGGAGTTGCAAGGAGGTTGCAAGGTTATTCATTGTCAATGTTGTGTTCATAGGATTTTAAAAATAATAAATTTCATTATTTCAGCTATTTAAATGTGAAATTTCATGGTGTTGTAATTGCAGGGGTCCTGCCTCAACAAGATGTTGTGGGCTTGTCACAAGGTTATTATAGAGGAGAGTGAGGTACTAATACCCTAACTGCTGCACCCTAAGCCTCAGCAGCCACAACTCAGGTTGCCCAACTCTGAAGGTAGCAGTGAAGAAGTAAGGGTGGCATGTTGTGGTATTGTCACCTTTACTTGTTCATGGCAGCTGACAGGGTGCTGCCTTCACAACTGGGCTCATGGTCTACAGTTGCTGCTCTCCAGCTGTGAAGGCAGTGCAGAAGTAAGGGTGGTGATACTGTGATCCCTCCCCCAATAACCTTGCGACCTCCCCTCCCCCCTGCGACTCCCTTTTGGGTCAGGACCCTCAATTTGAGAAATGCTGGTCTCCCCAGGAAATCTATATTATATAGCATAGGGTATAAGCTTATAAAAGACCAGATTTTGTGGAGGGAGACCCGATTTCACGATCCGTCACGTTTTCCATGGCTATGAATTTGGTAGGGCCCTAATAATGGATGGGTGGATCGGGGAAAATATATGCTCAATAATACAATGACAGATATTACCCAACAAGATGATCTGGCTATGAGAAATTATTCTTAGTTTTCCTTTTGGTTTTCTGTTTTGAAGACAGTCCATGTTTCGTAATCACATTTGAGAGAATGATCAAATTCTCATTTACATAAGGTATATACTCAGTAAAGATCTCACACCATGGAGACTGCTGTTCTTAAAGGTAAATACAAAAAAGTCCCTTTATATCGTGTCTTCCCCATGTAAATCTGGAGACTTGGAAGAAATTTATCTCCATATCTTTTGAGTTGTTGAATTTCCCAATAGCTGAAAGCATGCTGGGTTTTACAGCTTTTATCACCATCCCAGATAATTCTTTAGTATTTCTCAGTCCCTAGTAGTAATGAAATCAGTGGCAATGTTTGCCCTTTTAGCAATGTTTTGAAGAAGAGAGGGGTTTTAAAGTTCTGATTGACATTTTATTCTCTGGATATTGGTGTTTTTAGATTATGAATGTTTTTATTTTTGTAATTGCCAGATATGTCCTATCAATTACATTGAATAGTTTGAACCCCTCTCCTCCCAGTTGGCCTGACTGCTGTGTGTATATTACATCTAGGATTCCCAAAGCAGGTACCATGTTGGTGTTTGCTATGAGAAGGGCCTTGGAGTACAACGGAACTTCGCAGAAGCCATGGAGCATTACCAGCATTCGGCTGCTGCAGGAAACAGACATGCTCAGGAGAGGGTGCGATTTGTTGATCAAGAGATGGCAGGTACTGCAGCATCAGGAGGTTGGGACAGAAAAGACATGCCAAAGACTCGGGCAGCGTCTTATGAACAGGGAAGCCCCTGTTCCCAGAGCCCCAGGCTGTGCTGCCATGAGAGAGGACACCACTGCTGTCAATACTGCAGCAGTAAGGTCTCTCGCCCCTTGTTCCCTACGCTATCTTGTGCTCAGTGGTTGGTTGTTGGATGCTGAATGGTAGGATTGCTTACCTGCAGCCTGAGGGTTTCAGTTAATGTCTTTTGTTTTTGGTCTTGGCAGCCACAAAGAGCTGCCGTCCAGCACCTTCCAGAATGAGAGCGTTCTCCTCCAGCCCCTGCCTCTGGGCCCTGGAAGGGCAGCACCAGGCCTCGCCAGTGGAACGTCGTACTTTAGCCTTGCCCCACTCCTGGAGCACAGGCAGTCTGGGTGGGGCTGACATCCGTGGCCTGAGATGGAGTCCAGCCCCAGAACATACAGCAAGTCTATTGGATTCCTCCCACCTGGAGCCATGGCCAGGGCTCTGTTCTCAGGGACTGTGGTGCAGGAGATGATGTGTGGTCTGAGAGGGTCTCTGAATGTAGGAGGGGTTGTGACTGGGGCAAGGGAATTGGGTGCAGGAGAAGATTCTGGCCTGGGAGAGGAGTGTAGGAGGAGATACGGGGCCTGAGAGGGAGTTATGACCTGGGGCAGGAGGATGCAAAGAGTTTGGATGGTGACCTGGGGGAGGGAATTAGGGTACGGGAGGGGCAGGAGTGACAGAGGCAGGCTCTGGCTGGGGGGCATTTACCTAAGTCAGCAGCCTTGGAGAAGCCCCAACCAGGCTGGGCTCCCTGCCTGCTTCAGCCCCAGACACCTTGAAAATACAGGCTGGTCCCTCCATCTGGCGCTCAGCTCTGGGTGGAAGGACCCCCTCTCTGCTCGCAGGCCAATCTCAGCTCTGATTGGCTGACTGTTTCCAGCCAATAGGAGCTGAGAGATTGGCTGAGGTCAGTTTATATTTGCCGGTTGTTTCTGACCAATAGGAGCTGAGAATTGGGCTGGGGGATGGAGAGATCCCATGAAGCTCCCCTGCTCCCTGAAGAGCAAAGAGACACATGGACAGCACTTGAACTGCGGCAGCCGCGTGCCTGAGGATCCCGGCAGGGTGGACCGTAGGCCGGATCCCGTGGCTTGGCGGGCCAGATTTTGCCCAGTTCTGCTCTAGCCTGTTTGGAGGACCTCTCCACTGTTCTTTTCCGGGGTGGGTGTGGCAGGACCAGGGGGCTCTAGCAGGGGATCTCTAGGCTTAGTCCATCCTGTCACACACAGTTATTGTTGATATCTTTTAATCAGTATAATCATTTATCTTATACTATACAGATTTCTTGGGGAGACCAGCATTTCTCAAATTGGGGATCCTGGCCTAAAAGGGAGTTGCAAGGAGGTTGCAAGGTTATTCATTGTCAATGTTGTGTTCATAGGATTTTAAAAATAATAAATTTCATTATTTCAGCTATTTAAATGTGAAATTTCATGGTGTTGTAATTGCAGGGGTCCTGCCTCAACAAGATGTTGTGGGCTTGTCACAAGGTTATTATAGAGGAGAGTGAGGTACTAATACCCTAACTGCTGCACCCTAAGCCTCAGCAGCCACAACTCAGGTTGCCCAACTCTGAAGGTAGCAGTGAAGAAGTAAGGGTGGCATGTTGTGGTATTGTCACCTTTACTTGTTCATGGCAGCTGACAGGGTGCTGCCTTCACAACTGGGCTCATGGTCTACAGTTGCTGCTCTCCAGCTGTGAAGGCAGTGCAGAAGTAAGGGTGGTGATACTGTGATCCCTCCCCCAATAACCTTGCGACCTCCCCTCCCCCCTGCGACTCCCTTTTGGGTCAGGACCCTCAATTTGAGAAATGCTGGTCTCCCCAGGAAATCTATATTATATAGCATAGGGTATAAGCTTATAAAAGACCAGATTTTGTGGAGGGAGACCCGATTTCACGATCCGTCACGTTTTCCATGGCTATGAATTTGGTAGGGCCCTAATAATGGATGGGTGGATCGGGGAAAATATATGCTCAATAATACAATGACAGATATTACCCAACAAGATGATCTGGCTATGAGAAATTATTCTTAGTTTTCCTTTTGGTTTTCTGTTTTGAAGACAGTCCATGTTTCGTAATCACATTTGAGAGAATGATCAAATTCTCATTTACATAAGGTATATACTCAGTAAAGATCTCACACCATGGAGACTGCTGTTCTTAAAGGTAAATACAAAAAAGTCCCTTTATATCGTGTCTTCCCCATGTAAATCTGGAGACTTGGAAGAAATTTATCTCCATATCTTTTGAGTTGTTGAATTTCCCAATAGCTGAAAGCATGCTGGGTTTTACAGCTTTTATCACCATCCCAGATAATTCTTTAGTATTTCTCAGTCCCTAGTAGTAATGAAATCAGTGGCAATGTTTGCCCTTTTAGCAATGTTTTGAAGAAGAGAGGGGTTTTAAAGTTCTGATTGACATTTTATTCTCTGGATATTGGTGTTTTTAGATTATGAATGTTTTTATTTTTGTAATTGCCAGATATGTCCTATCAATTACATTGAATAGTTTGAACCCCTCTCCTCCCAGTTGGCCTGACTGCTGTGTGTATATTACATCTAGGATTCCCAAAGCAGGTACCATGTTGGTGTTTGCTATGAGAAGGGCCTTGGAGTACAACGGAACTTCGCAGAAGCCATGGAGCATTACCAGCATTCGGCTGCTGCAGGAAACAGACATGCTCAGGAGAGGGTGCGATTTGTTGATCAAGAGATGGCAGGTACTGCAGCATCAGGAGGTTGGGACAGAAAAGACATGCCAAAGACTCGGGCAGCGTCTTATGAACAGGGAAGCCCCTGTTCCCAGAGCCCCAGGCTGTGCTGCCATGAGAGAGGACACCACTGCTGTCAATACTGCAGCAGTAAGGTCTCTCGCCCCTTGTTCCCTACGCTATCTTGTGCTCAGTGGTTGGTTGTTGGATGCTGAATGGTAGGATTGCTTACCTGCAGCCTGAGGGTTTCAGTTAATGTCTTTTGTTTTTGGTCTTGGCAGCCACAAAGAGCTGCCGTCCAGCACCTTCCAGAATGAGAGCGTTCTCCTCCAGCCCCTGCCTCTGGGCCCTGGAAGGGCAGCACCAGGCCTCGCCAGTGGAACGTCGTACTTTAGCCTTGCCCCACTCCTGGAGCACAGGCAGTCTGGGTGGGGCTGACATCCGTGGCCTGAGATGGAGTCCAGCCCCAGAACATACAGCAAGTCTATTGGATTCCTCCCACCTGGAGCCATGGCCAGGGCTCTGTTCTCAGGGAATAGCAGTTGGCTAGTAGGTACCGACGGAAACTGTCCCTTCCAATGGAAATGATGTCCAAGAGGAGCAGCACTGGGGGCGGGATGATGGCGGGTGGGAGTGGTATATGGAGATAGGAGGCAGGGCAAGAGAAGTAATATAGAGCAGTCTCTCTGGCTACGTCTATACTGCTGAGAAAAGTTGGAAAAAGATATGCAAATTGTGAACTGCAATTTGCATATCTTTTTTCCGCTTTTTTTCCCGAAAGAGGCTTTTCCGAAATTTGGCCTGTCTACATGGGGCCAAATTTCAGAAAAACTCCTCCTTCAGAACATCCCTTATTCCTCTCACCGAGAGGAATACAGGGATGCCAAAAGAACATTCCGCTTTTTAGGAAACTGTTCCGAAAAAGCAGACGCATTCCTTGGATTTGGCAGCGCTTTTTCAGGATACCTCCGGAAAAGCTCCAGGTATCCCAGAAAATCTCTGCAGTCTAGACATAGCCTCTGTGTCCTACTATACTACTCTGTGCTACCCAGCTTAACTTCACACTGCCTCACCCAATCCCAGGCCTCAGCTCCTCCTCTCTGACTTGGCCCAGGTACCTGCAGCCCAGCCCAGCTCATCCCCCCATATTCTGGGAACTGGGGGCCAGCACTTCACTTTCTCTGCTGGCCTGAAGGCCTTGCTGAAGGCCCCTCCTCTGCACACTAGTGCTCTGCTCCATGCTGGAGCTGCACTTGACTGTCTGATCAATCCCCACCTGGAACTCTGGCACCAGGTCACTCAATGGCTCTGCCACTCGCTTGCCCTGAGCTTTGCACACCCAAATTGTAGCAGTTTAATTATATCAGTTAAAAGCCAGTTCAGTCAAATGGATACTGACTTTTGCCTGGGCCTGTACATGTACCATGCAAGCTAAACTGATACGTGCAGGGTTTAAGCTGTGTTAAGGGTGTCCACACACAAATTGCACTGGTTTAACTCAGTTGCAAATTCTCCCTGTAGCCAAACTGGTTCATCTTTGCGTGCCGGCCTGGCCTCACTACAACAGCTGTCCTCTGACACTTACTCTTAATTCCAGCTTCCATTCTGCAACTGCAGAGTACAGTCTCCCCCTTTGTTCCCAAAGCTTGTGGCTTTGCATTCAAGTCCATTCCGTTTACTTGCAATTCATTTGTGAGGCAGGATACAACTGGCAGGAAATCCCTCCGACGGATTTCCCTACTTTGATAATAACCGGGGCTGCTCCTGAGCATCCTCTCCTTGCTGCAGGGAGCGGAGCTGTAGCCACCCTTTTCTTTGTTATAGGACTCGCAGGGAGAGAGAGGGTTGAAGCATATACAGTGAAGCTAAGATAGGAAAATGGAATTAATCTCCTCTTTAAATCACTAGTTCATGATCATCGACAACTAAGTCCAATGGCTACATCCAAACAGTGCAGTGTGAGGAAGCCGGGAAGCTGTTTGCTGTGTTTGTAGGATGCCTGAAGTCTGAAAGACTTTTTCTGAAAGGCTTTTGTGCAAAAGGGCCAGTGTAAACAGCGAAAATGGCGATTGGGGCTTTTTTGCAGAAAACCGCGTCTAGATTGGCCACGGACACTTTTCCGCAAAAAGTGCTTTTGCAGAAAAGCATCCTGCCAATCTAGACGCTCTGTTCCGAAAATGCTTTTAACAGAAAACTTTTCCATTAAAAGCATTTCCAGAAAATCATGTCAGTGTGGACGTAGTCGCTATGTCTGCAAAGCAGCGTTATATCGCGATAACTGATGTTACTCTGAAATAACAAAGAGCGTGTCTACGCTGTAAGCCGTTATTTTGAAATAATGGCAAGCTGGAGGACTTCCTACTCTGACTCCTGTAACCTTCATTTTATGAGGAGTAAGGGAAGTTGAAGGAAGAGTGATCTTCCTTTGTCTTCCTGCTGTGTAGACAGCGCAAAAAGCCAAAATAAGCTATTTCAACTTTAGCTACGCATTGACGTAGCTCAAGTTGCGTAGCTTAATTCAAATTTAGCCATGCTGTGTAGACATACCCTCATATAGTAAGATACTTATTGCCCTGTTTTGGGCCCTTCAGGTGACCTCTGCGGAGATGTTGGGACATAAGTTTACCACAAAGCTATAGGTCTATAGAACTATGATTATATCATTTTATTGTGTGAAAGAGAAACATGGACACTAGGGAAGGCTGAAGAGCATGGACTGATGTTTTTGATTCTCATCATCATCAGTTGCTCCTTATTTAAGTGGCAGGTCAGGATAAAAAATGGCACAGGTTTGAATTTGACAGATAACTTGGTATCGACGCATCAGGATGGAAAATCAACACATTCTGAAGCATGTGCACAAAGGAATACTATGACCTGGCTAGCGATCACATTGGTGCTAGAAGCTTCAGGGATATGATAAAACTACCAGTGATGGACAAACTGAATATACAGTCAAACCAGAATAAATGAGAAGTCCTGGGGCACCTTATAGACTAAGAGGTTTATTGGAGCATAAGCTTTCATGGGCAAAGACCCACTTCGTCAGATGCATGTGACACGAAAGCCTATGCTCCAATAAATCTGTTAGTCTATAAGGTGCCACAGGACTTCTCGTTATTTATGCAGATTCAGACTAACACAGCTACCCCTCTGATACTAGTCAGATCAGAGATAGTTTTAGTGGCACTGATCTGCAATGAGGCCACTTCTACCCAGGCTCACCCACTCTCCCCACACCCTTATGGCATATGGTTCACCCCACATCATAAATACATGTCCTTGAGACTTAGCTTCTTCTCCTCCCCCATGTTCTAGCTGTTGCAAATGTCCATGCACACCTCTAAACTTCACCATCCTCACTAGGGGGTGTTAAATTTAGTTTAATCACCGAATCGATTAGTCAATGGATTTTCCATTGATTAGTCAATAAGCGGGGGAACCACAGCAGCCAGCACGCTCTTAATATATTTAAAAGGCTAGACTGCAGCAGGGGGACCCTGCACGAGCTGGGAATCAGCTGTCCCGGCTTGCACTGGGCGTGTATCATCCGTTTCCGCCCCCTCCCCCGCCTCTGCACTTCTGATTTTTAAATTGAAAAGCAGAGGCACAGCCTCTGGGACTGGCCATGAGCTGGGAATCAACTGATTCCTGGTTCGCACCCAGTCCCCAGTCTTCTGATAGAGGCAGCAAGATGGGAGGAAAGCAACTAGTCAACTATCCAATAAGCTTTTGCTTATCGGCTAGTCGACTCATCACTTACATCCCTAATCCACACATGGCTCATGCTCCTTTATAACTCTCACACTTCCTATGGGTCACCTGTTCCTTCATACCCTCTGACTCCCGCTATCCTCATGGATCTACTCCATCCATGTATGCATCCTTATGACTCCCCTTCCTCTAGATACACACTTCCCTTAGTGCTGAGTTGAAGATGGTCACTGGGCTGAGGCTTGTGCTTCTAGGCTGCTCTGCTCTGCTCCCTTCCTCCTTGCTGCTCAGTTGATCTCTAGGCTGGGCTTCTAACTCCTCCTGCCCTTTTGTTACAGGCTAGACCCTGGTCACTGTAGCCTGGATCCTGCTCCTATGAGGAATCTGGGGAACATCGGGCAGCTGTGGGCACTTCCCACGCAAGCATGGACACAGAAACCACAGTCTCGGTGCAACACCATGGGGAATATGAGAGAAAGAAATGCTGAATTCAGCGGTACCTTGGCAAAATGTAGTATTTCACAGTGGTGGAGTCACAGAGCCCATGAACTCTTGAGAGGAACAGGGCAGGTCTCACCTCTCCAGAAGAGTCTGAAACAACAGCTTGAAGACTGAGGCAGGCATTACTATATCATTTTCCCTTGCTCACATTTATGAGCTTTTCATCACAATCATAAAGGCTAAAATCATTTTTATTTCAAATAAAACTGAAGATTTTAGAGCCTGATTCTGTGGCAGTGTAGTGAATTCTGCAGCTGACACCTGGGGCTTTGTGAGCACAGGCTACTGAAATTGGGTCTCAGCATGAAGTTTGTGTATGACCGAAAGTGAGTTATGTTCGCTGTTTCTCTAGTACAGGGGTGGGCAAAAGGGCTTCCAGGCAGGGCCGGCTCTAGGTTTTTTTGCCGCCCTAAGCAAAAAAAATGGTGGCTGGCCCCCCCCCCCCCCTCCCCTGCTTTTTTCACAGAGGCATGAGTGGAGTGGGACTGGGGCTGGGAGGAAGCAGCACTCCACACTCACTCTTGTTCTCAGGTCCCAGTGTGCAGAAGAAACTGGCTGCAGGGGCTGCCCTCATTTCCCAGCGCTGCCCCCTCCCCTCGCCTGTGTTCGCCCCCAGGGAGGCATGCTCCCCATGTGGCCCTAGTGGTGGGGGGCAGGTAGGTGGAGGGAGCCATGGCAGGGACCAGCATAGGGGTAAATATTTGTCATCGTGTTTTTTTTTAAATCACATTGCAAAGCATATTTTCTTTTACTACACTGTGAGGCTCCAAGATACATCTTTAATTGGTTTAATGGAGCCACAAGGCATGACATTAGACAGCTTTTTCCGAGTTCACAAAGGTCATATTTACATGTACCTAGTGGTATTTCCTTGTTTTCTAGATAAGATAATGCAAAGGGGAAGTGTTTGGTTCCAGGTGAGTGGAAAAGGGTATAAGAAACGGGAAGAAGATAACAGTGTTTGGCACAGGTGAGAATTTATCATGCAGACTTTCCACTCTGTTTATATTCAAGCTTCAGAAGCATTTTGCTGTATACAGAATCTGGCTTCTTGCTGTACATTTTAATTCCCAGAGAAGAGTTAGAGCAGTGCTTTTCAAACGCTTTCTCTCATGACCTAGTTGAAGACAATTTTTGATGCCCACAACCCAACTCAATTTGACTAGAGTGTGGGCTCCAGGGTGGGGCTGAGAATGAGAGCTTTAAGGTGTAGAAGAGAGCTCCAGTTTTGGGGGTATCAGGGCTGGGGCAGGAGCAGCTTACCTTGAGCAGCTCCCGGTCAGCAGTGCAGCGGAGGTGCAAAAACAGCTTCCTGCCTCTTCTGGCACTGCAGACCCTGCTGCACCCCAGAAGCAGCCAGCCAATACGAGTGGGAAGCTAATGCTCAGGACAGGAGCAGTGCACAGAGCCCTGTGTGCTCTCCCCTTCACTCTGCCCCTATATAGGAGCCAGGCCTGCTGCCGACTGCTTCTTAGACACAGCTCAGTCTGAGGCTCCCGAACAGGCAGGTAGCTGCCTTAGCATCCCCACCGGTCACCTGATCCCCCTGCAGCAATGAGACCCAGTGCCCGACATTCCACGACCCAGTAGCGAAGGGGCTGGATCTGGTCCACCAAGCAGATTGATCCAGCCCGTGAAGGCCCTGGCTCTCCCCCACCCCCAGACCAGTCAGGGCCCGGGGGTGGGGGGAAGTGCATAACGTTTCCTCTGTCCTGCCCCCACCCTGCAAGGCATGCAAGATGCTTAGAAGCACCATGTGCTCCTGGCAGGGTGGGAGGAGACTTTGCACACTCCCCCCGCCCCAAGCCCTGATTGGCCTGGGGGTAGGGGGAGTGCACCAAGTCTCCTCCTGCTCCGCGAGGGGCATAGCACTTCTAAGCACAACACGCTCCTTGCAGAATAGGGGCAGGGCAGAAAAAGAGTTCACGCGCTCCCACCTTCCTCCCCTCTCCCCCCCAGCCGATCAGGGCTTGGGGGCATGGAGGAGCAGGCGAAGTCTCCTTCCGCCCTGCTGCTAAGCTGGTGGTTGACTCTAAACGCCATGCTCCCTTGCAGGGCAGGGGCAGGAAGCGAGAGAGTTTGTATGCTCCTCCTCCCCCAGGCCCTGATTAATCTGGGGCAAAAGAGGGAGCGCACAAAGTCTTCTTCCACTGCCAGGGGCATGGGCACCTAGGGGGAACGTTGGGGCAGAGGGCAAAGACTTCACACCCTCCCCCACTGCCAGAGCAGTCAGGGTGGTGGATGGGGAGGCAGGGAAGTATCCTGCCCCACCCCTTCTGCCTGAGGTCCCGCCCCTTCTGGTGCAGCCTGAGGCCACTTCAAACATTTCTGAAGTGGCACCCATTAAAAAATTATTGTCCACCCCTGCTCTAGCACAATGCATTCTGTTTTACCCAGCTTTGGAGGAAAGCGCCTAGCTAACTTCCGACTGCTGCAAATATCACTGCCTTTCGGACACACGGGTGGCTCCAATAACTGTGCACTTGCCCTGGGTTTTTTTGCACAGTTTCTGTGTCCTGCTCCCACAAGTGAAGGTCCAGGCCCAGCTGGGATGCAGGGCAGATTGTAAATGCTCTCCTAAGTTATCTTCTCATTTCAGGCAGGGAGGAACTTGAAAGAGGAATTCTGGACCTGAAGCAAATGGATGGGAGGTGGAGGCAGGCCATGAGCAAATGGCAGGAGACCATGGGCAGACAGGGGGGTGAAGAGATGGGGCTGGGTCGCAGGCAGAAAGGATGGGGAAGGTGGAGGCTGTAGCTGGACCCTATATGGAAAGGAAGGATGGGGACAGGTCCCAAACGTTTCGACAATCTGGCCTGCACACAACTGCTGGCATATGAGTCCTTGCAGTCCTGGGGTGATGTCCATATCCTTCCCTGAATCCAGCCTCTGCTCTGATCCCTCCTGACCCTGCTCAACCCTCTCCTCTTCCCCATTACACGCCTTTCCTCAAGGGCCACAGCCTCAGGGATTATCGGGGGCGCAGCAGGGGTCGGGTGCCCCTGCACTGACTGTAGCAGTGGTAACTGCAGGGAAGTGGAGCAACACAGAAGCCTCTGCTCTGCTCTGCTGCTATCTCCAGGCCAGCACAGTTGCTGTGCTTCACTGCAGCAGTGACTGGCTTGGCAAATGGTGGCAAAGCAGAGCAAGCTGCTATGTAACTCCACTTTCCCATGGCTCCTGCTGCCACGATTAATGCAGGGAGCGCCCCAGCCCATCCAGGGCCTCACAGACTAAGTATGGGAGTATGGGGGACCATTCCATCCATAAGACGGTTGGGGTGACCGCTGCAGGGCCCCCCAAAGCATGGAGCCTGGAGCAGCTCCACCGAACCATTCTTTGGATGGGACAGTTCTGCACACAGCTCTGGGGCACAGCGACGTGCCAGTAGTGGCGCAGAGCTAGCAGACAGAAGCCCTCTAGTCCTGCTGTGCTACCAGTGGTGGCACCAGGGCGGCCCCTGGAAGAGGGGATTTAAGTTGCCCGGGGGCAGCAGGTGAGGCTGAAGGATGCAGGGGGGTGGAGAGGAGCACACAGGCAAGCAGGGCAGGGAAATGTGGAGGGAGACATGAGCCTGGCCAGAGATGGGTGTCCACTGACCCACTAGGAGGATTTGAGGACTGGTACTGGCCCTAAGGTAAATTAAGATTGAGTCCCAGGGACTGAGGGCTTGGCTGTGGGTGGAGAAGGAGAAATGGGCTGTTGGCAAAGGGGTGAAGCCAGATGCCAGTGGTACCTGGGTGTGACTGGGGAGGTAGGGCAGGGAGATGAGCTGTGGACAGCAAGGCAGGGGTAGGCCATGGATGGGAAAGGCACTAGATCCTGGGCTATGGATGGGGAGGTATGTGCAGAAAGACTGGGCTGTGATGATGAAGGGCTGGCTGGTGCCAGATTGTGGGTGGGGAGGAGAGTCCGGGTGTTAGGCTATTCTTGGCAGAGAGATGGGGCTAGTGCCAGACTAAAGGTAGAGAAGTAGAGCTGGGATATAAGTGGAGGGAGAATGGGAATTCTTTTGCCAGGGGCCAAGATACAGGAGGGGAGGTGGGGTCAGGTAAGGGGAGCATAAGGGCAATGCACCTAAGACAATCTGTATTCAGATGTGATTCTTGCTGGAACTATTGAACACAAGCACCACCATCAGGTGCTCTTTCCATGCAAACACAGTGGTTTTGCTCACACGTCTACTGAAGCCATCAGCCTTCCCATATGACTGACACAGGAGGAGCATCACCATCCAGCTCAAAAGTCTTGCTGCGTGCACAGAGCTGCTGCAGGAGCCCAGAGGCTGATGTTGCATGGGCCTGTGCTTTCTGGGATAAGATCATTTCAAATAGGGTGCTCATTTCTGAGAGGAACGTGCTGGCCAGCCTCGTCCTGGCTGTGTTTGTGTCAGATCCACTAACTTTACCAAATGTCTCAAAGGTCCTTGGCTTATCCAACCCTGCATTTTCTTGGTCCTGAGAAGACTGCAGAGAATCAGGGGAGAAAACATTGTCCTTGTAACTGCTGGTGAGGGACAGGGAAAGCCGAGCCATCCACGAAGGGTCTGCCGTCAGCCTCTCTAGGGCCAGCCCTGCATGGAACAACACATGAAAAAGAAATATGGACCATGAGAGCTGGGGCTGAGTCGTCCACTGGAGAAGAGAGACTCAGGAAAGTGTCCTGGATCAGCTGGGAGAAGTTTGGCAGTGGGGGAACATGGAGTGAGGCTTGTGGCAGCATTCTTGATTACAAGGATTTCAAAATTTGTGAGTGAACCATTCCCAAAATCATGAAAGTGGTTTAAAAATAAAGGGTCACATTTCATCACTGTAATAATTCTGTGCCCCTACACTTCCTTTTTACAGTCAGCAGCCCCTAGAAAAGTTTTTTTCTAAAAGCTTGGCTCCATGTTTCCTCCACTTATCTAGCTGCCTTTCAAAAAGAAACAGCCATATCTCTGTGTTTGACTATGTTCTCCTGCAATCGGCTCTGTGATGTCCCCCCCAAGCCAGTGGCTGCCAGCACAGTTGTTACAGATGGAGCAAGGAGGGCTAGGGTTCAAACCCTGCTGAAGGCACAGGACAGGGTTGTTAAAGTAGCACCTAAAACAGTCTGATTGTTTGAAGGTGTTTGTTTTTTTTAACTAAAACCCAGCAAATAGCATATGAAACCTGTTAAGAGAATTATATTAGAGTTGCAAAATCAAGTATTTGTATGTTAGAAAATGCCAGAATTGTGACTGTC